AAAGCACAACCCAGATGGAGTGAAAGCTGGTTTCTCAGCAGACATCTTCCTCTTTTCAGGGGCTCATCCCATTGCAGAGAAACCCCCATTCCCTCCTTGCTTCACCCTGTGCCAGCTGTTTCCTGGTGGTTTGATCCCATCCTTCTGGTCAAGCAGGCTACAATGACATCGCACGCTGAGTCCAGGCCTGGAGGCTGCTGGCAGCACTCAGCATCGTGTCTCTGCATCAGGCCTCCTGGCTGAAGCATCCCAAAGCTCCTCCGAGAAGGGGGGCATTTGGTCAGGTTTGTCGTGGTGGAGACAGGTTAGAGTAGGAGTGGGGAATGGGGAGAGGTCTGATTTTAGGGGGCTGGTAAAAGTCAGTGGGGAACTTCGAGAAGAGCAGTATCTTCCTCTGTGATGTGGTCCCACTCAAGGACACTGTTTCTAGTACTCACCCCACGCAAGATCCATAGCCCCAAATCCTGCTTTGCCTATGCTACTTCAGCGCTATTTCTTGGACTATGACCAGTTCTACGGTTCATCTCTGTAGACCCAGTCTCCCAATGCATGTCCTGAACTTGGGTAGATTTATGGATTAGAGCTGAATATGTTAGGCATTACCTTTTGCACCAGGTGGTCCTGCTTTCCCAGGGAGTCCCTGGCATCCCATTTCTCCTGCAAGGAAAGACTCTCTATGTGAACATTGCAAACCGACCAGAGGGGAGATGATACAGAAGCCTGGGCAGCTGGGCCTTGGCTTTTGCAGAAACAAGGAAGCTGGGTTTTGTTAATTAGATTCAATCTTGCAAGATATCTTACTCCTTTCCTTCTGTTGAAGCTACACTACACTGGTACTGCCAGTGTAAGTTCTAATTTGCAGCTCACATATGAATTCCTATGAGCTTTGTACATCTTGGAGGCAGTCTGTGGATTTTGCTGTGGTGGATCTGCTCCCTCTGCTAATGTGATTCACCTTTTCTGTGAGTTGGCTATGAAAACCCTGAAGGACCCCCCCCCCATCTCCCTTGCTTCCTGGGGTAGGGAGTGCCAGTACAGTTCCCAAACTGTTTCCTGGTAGACATGCAGGAACGTCGCAGCCTCCCTCCCACCAGACTGTTCAATAAAGACTCAGAAAATAAATGGATGTTTTTACTGTAGAAGAAACAAATGAGTTATGACACTTCACACCCCAGGACCACTTCAAACTTGTGACAGGACTCAAGGAAAAAAAGACGACTCCATGTGTATCAGCACATCTCTAGATGGGGTGTTTTCCACTCCTATTCGACTCTCCAGCTGCTCACAGAAGCCAGTGCCAGGCCAGCCACTGCTCCAGCCTCAGCTTGCTTCCCCTACCCAAAGCAACAAAGCCATGTCATATCACAGTGTTCATCACTGGCTTTTGGGGCCTCACCTTTTGTTCCTGGGAGACCTGGTTCTCCTTTTGGGCCAGAGGCACCTGGGATCCCTGGGCATCCTTGGAGAACGGCAAGCCGGTCAGCATCACCCAGTCCCACTATTCTCACCTCTGAGGAAATGAAGACAGTCTTCGTGGAGATTATTAGGGCTCTGAAATGTCTTGGAGAGGAAACCAAACCCTCTGGAGTTCAGGAATAGTGCGAGCAAAAGCAATGAGGGTGAGAGTTTGGAGGTGGTGTATGGATTAACAGATGGCATTGAGGATCTCACATATTAGAAGAGCTAGACACTGCATCTCTCTGGCTTCAGGGGAGTTCAGTGGGAGAGAAGGCTGTTATATATGACATTACATGCATGACAAATATACTGTAGCTTAATAAAACAAAAGCTGAGAGGTGCCCTGGGGGATATTGACAGCAGAGTAAGTGATATTGATAGATCTGTGGCCAGTAAAGGTTCTATTAAATTTCCTGACAGCAGGTCAGTTTGAAATCATCCCTATCATCTTCCCCAGGAATATAGACAGAAAGCTGTGCTGTGCAGCATCCCCAAGCTGCCAGGGTGCCTGGCACCTAGCAAGCACTTGACCGATCCTTTGTATTGCTCTGCATCCTTCAGTAACTGGGCCAAGGCACCATGAAGAAAAATTCTTAACCAGGATGTAAAACCTTGACTGGGACAGCCTGTTCCTGGACATCCCACTGGTGAGCGGGGGAGGATGCTACATCTTTGGTTGGAGTCAGCAGTTTTGTAAAGTGGCTGCTGAGACTTCATCCTCCCCCTTACCCTCCTCCCACTTGCAGGTGAATTAAAAAAAGCACAGAAGGAAAAAAATCATATCCTGCCCGCCCT